CATGAGTACGGTGGTAGCTGCCGTACCTCGTGGACGCCTTTATGTGCAGTGGGAGAGCGAATGCTTCTTATAGGAGGAGACTCAAAGCTTCGAGACTGGCAAACCGTCTTGAACGATGTGAATTTATGCCATGTTTTGAAGAGGATCTACACCAACCTCACAGAGGTCGCCACCAGTGTTGAGGGCGCCGCTGACCTACTACGTGAGAAATGCCCGGCTGGTGCGGTATTGCGGTTGCAGACTTTCCCCAGTCGATATCAAAAAACCATTGCTGATTACCTCCCCGAGGGCATGTGCCATCCCAGAGACTACACTCATGTAGCTCAAGTGGTCTATATCGATGGACTCTACCTCCTGGGCATTTGCCAGCCAGAAGAGTGTTACATTGGAAACATAGTGGAGACATCTAATGGTCGGTTAACTGACAGTGTTTGTAAAGCCGAATACAAATTGGCTGAGGCGTTCAGACGATTCGGTTTTGAATTCGGCGAAAAAAGGGACGAAATGACGGCCATAGACGTCGGGGCCAGCCCGGGTGGTTGGAGTCGGTACCTCTATAATGAAGGTGTTGGCAGAATCATAGCCGTGGATAAAGGGGAAGTTGATTGTTCGAAAAGTGATGGTAAAATCGAGCATTGGGATATGCTTGGTCAGGAGGCTATTCAGAAGCTGCTAGAGCACGAAGGCCATAGGGAGTCACTCGATGTCTACGTTTGTGACGCCAATTTGCCACCACCCGAGAGTCTTGCGATGTTGAGGCAGGCAAGTGAACTCATCAAACCGGGAGCGTACGTGGTGGTGACGTTTAAGAATCCGTACAAGAGGAAGGCGGATTGGTACAAAGCCAAAGAGCTCAGCTTTGACGATTTCTCTACCATATGTGATCATCCCACTGAAGTGCATTTGCTGGCGAACACCCCAAATGAGACCACAGTTGGTGGGCGGTGGAAGAAGCAACTCGACTGATGACTTCAACACACTTCCGTTTCTCTCTTCCTCTTCAATGAGTTTTGTGTTTAATAGTGACATCGGTCTCCACGATGAGAACTCTCTACCAATTCAATAACTCCAACAGCTCATTCCGATGATAAAGCATCTCCATGTGATGTCTTCTCCAGTGACCAACACGATCCTGCGTAAGTCAAGCAACCACTTTTATACCGTTGTGATGGGGCATGCTCCTCTTAGCCTGCTTATATGTCATTGACACATGAGCAGCCAAGAATCAATGATACAAGCAAGTTTGACATTAAGATTCCAAGTATGTCAGAATGCTTAGCATTCTGCTTAGCATTCTGCTTATCAATCCTGTTTGTAGCATTCAATGCTACAATCGATTTTGAGAGGGTGAACTTGAGTGTGTCCATGTCCCACTTCATCACAACTAAGGCTTGCAAGGATAAATCAAGAATTTCGGACCAAGGTAGATCTGCTGCCAGGAAAGTAACTTACATCCTACTTCCCAAGTAAGAGATTCGTCCTCAGTACAGAACTTCTGGTCCCTCATTACTAGACTAGTAATACTAATGAGTCATTAGTGATCAATTCACAAACAGAATGTGCCATAGGGGACCTTATTTGAAACATTTATTGCGATTTCCACACAGTGGTCTGAGTTTGACGACATTCGAACAAAAGTGACAAAATACAAGTTTGACAAGTCGTCTGAACACGCCCTCCATCAGAGAACCACTAGCAGTACTATGTTATTATTATCAATTCCCTCCAATATACTTCGAAAAAATGCGACGGTCTTTGTGAAATTACACAAAACGGTATAGTCAGTAAGAAACATCGAGTGCCAGGTATCATGAGCTGGGTTCTTGCCTCTCCCTCGCCGCTTGCTGCCGCCTCTTGGAGCTCAACTGTCGAGAAAGACACGAGCGAATGACTATACATACGACTGATTCACGACTCGGCGCTGTTCACCGAGATGAACGTCACGTGAAATCTATGACATTTTTTCAC